TACATTTATGGATATCTGCCTGCAGTTATTCCAAGTCCAGAGACCAAAACACAGTGCCTGCATCCCCTGTAGCTTTTTCTGTTTCTGTGGCTGCTGCGCAGCAGCAAGTAGATGCTGGGATTGAGAAGAGGCTACTTTATAGGGAAGCTTTTCATCCAATATAGCTACCTGTAAATGCCCGGAATGGTTTCTCCTTGTGCTGCACTATTGGTGATACTGTGTTAGCCACCCTGCTTGGGAGGGAGGAGAGCAACTATGGGGTGAGAACTATCCAGAGAGTCATTCCTCATTGTTCCAAAGGCCAAAACCATGCAGAAGTTAGTCTGTGGTTATCTCTTTTCCCGTATTATCAGATGGTCCTCAGTGGCCTGAGGTTTTAATTCTTCAGTTGTGTCATGCCTATTTCTGTGTAGGCTCAACTTGCAAATACGTGATCACTTGCTTGTCTGCCCGTCCATCCATCAATTCATCCATTCATCATCTATCCATCCAATAAGGGATGGTAAACTCATATATTTAAAGGCACAAGGCAGATAAAGTAAAGGAGGAAATGGGCTTAGTAAAGATAATAGGGGGTGGTGGGGAGTGGTGAGCTGGAGATAGCATTTCACTGAGCTGTATTCCCTGGCTGAGATGGCCTCTCTGGTTTGATATGTAGCACCTGACAGCCACAGTGAACCATCCTTATTTCAGAAGTATTTGGGTTCAAGCAGCCTAGAGGTGTTTTGATGGGACCCTTGAGCTCTTCCTCAGCCTTAGGCAGAGTCTATTGAGAAAATCAAACTGTGGGATGTGTGTTAGGGTTTTTTAAGGTTGCAAGTTGCAAGGAACTCACTCAAACTGCTTAAGCACAGAGGAAAGTGTATGCTGATGTAACTGAAAGTTCATGAGAGCCTCTGCTCCACTTGTGCCTAGGTCTAGGGTCCCACCAAGGTCACTGGACTCCTCCATTTCCCCTCCATATCCCAACTCCATGTTGGTGTCCTTTGCAGAGAGGCCTGCTTGATGGGTGGCTCCCAGCAGCTTCAGATGTACATTTTTTTTTTTTTTTTTTGAGACAGAGTTTCGCTTTGTTGCCTAGGCTAGAGTGAGTGCCATGGCGTCAGCCTAGCTCACAGCAACCTCAAACTCCTGGGCTCAAACGATCCTTCTGCCTCAGCCTCCCAAGTAGCTGGGACTACAGGCATGAGCCACCATGCCCGGCTAATTTTTTCTATATATATTAGTTGGCCAATTAGTTTCTTTCTATTTATAGTAGAGATGGGGTCTCGCTCTTGCTCAGGCTGGTTTCGAACTCCTGACCTCGAGCAATCCACGCGCCTCGGCCTCCCAGAGAGCTAGGATTATAGGCGTGAGCCACCGCGCCTGGCCCAGATGTACATTTTTATCTGTTTTTTTAATTCTAAGAGAAAGAAAGTGCCTCTTTCCCCCAGAAGTTCCAGGATTGATTCCAATTCGCCTGCTTTAGACCACATATTCTCTCTTGAAGTGATCACTAAGGACTAGGTCGGTGGTTTTTCTTATTGGCCAGAGCTGGTCACAAGCCAGTCTCTGAAGTCAGGGCATGGGGTGGGGTTGATTTTACACAACTGTTGGTGATGGAGTGGTCCCCAGGAGAAAATGGAGGTTCTTCTTACTAGAAGGAGGTGGGATGGCAGCTGGGCAGGAAGATTACCTATACCCACAGCTGGGATGATGGGTTCATGGGAGGAAGGGGGTCTTACAATTGCACTGTGAAGTAAGACCTGGAACTCTGAGCAGAGCTAGAGCTGCCCATCCTTTCAGCCCTACTTCTCCCCACCTCTAGTTGAGTAGTGGGTACCCTGACATCTTCTGTCCAGCCCCATCATCCATAGGATAAAGAGAGAACACTGCCTGGTGGGCATGGGCTGCCTGTACTACCCAAGGATGCTTGGTATAAGGACACCTGATGCTTACTCCAGAACTGTGAATTTTGAAGGTCTTAGGAGTTTTGGGAGAGGACAGTAATCCAAGAGGGTCCTGATGTGCCTGGAGCATTCTGTGAACTTCCAACCTGGTTCTGCCATTGTAGGAGCAGTTGCCAAGATGAAGAGTTTCCTTTTAGCAGTGCCAGACCTAGGCTCAGAACTCAGCTACCCTAATCCCATGACTTGGCCCCAGGCAGGAACTGAGGCTGTGGAAGAGCCATATTTGGAATTTGGAGCCTCTGACTTCCCATACTGGGCAGAAGCCTTTGGAAAAGGAAAGGGACCAGGCTGCATACTCAGCAGCTGGCAGCCCCTGGTACAGCCTCATAGGGACCCAGAGTTCTTTCTCCACTGGGACTCTGATCTAGAGGATAGCTCTTGCAGGTCTCAGGCCTGACGTTAGTCACATGTAATCCTCAGTGCCAGAAACACCAGCTCTCTTTGGATTGAGCAACAGTTTTCTCCACTATCAAAGATAATTTTAACTGTTTCCTGCCTTGGATTTATTTGTTTGTTTGCTTGTTTGTTGCTGAAAATACGGCTACTACCAGGATGCAGAACATTAAAAGGAACATAGCAAAAGGGTAAATTGGGCTCATAAGAAGACATTATGAAAACACTAGAAACCATCAAAAAGTAAAACTCTTCTAGAGGAAGTAGAATTCTTGCTGGTGGAAAGCACCCAAGAGCCTTCATACCCTGTCTCACATGCTACAACAACCCAGTGAGGTTGACAGGGAGGGGTAATTTTCATTTAATATCTATTTTATTGATGCAGAAATGGTAATTAAGAGAATTAGCAAAATTTCCCAGTTATTGGGAGAATTGAATCTAGAACCCAGATCTCTAAGCAATCTGGCCTAATTTTTAATCACTGCACCCTACATTATAAGTTCATGTGAAACTTTTCTTTTATACTTGACTAGACTTGGTGAAAAAGAATGTTGACTATGATGGACAAAGAAATGTTTTTTATTTATTTATTATTTTTAAATTTAATTTTAATTTTTTTTCAATAGATTTAAGGGGTATAGGTGGTTTTTTGATACATGGATTAATTGTGTAGTGGTGAGATCAGGGCTTTTAGTGTACTTGTCACCTGAATAGTAAATATTAATATTATAACTGATAGCGGATTTTTAAATTAGGTAACTGGTAACCCAATTTAAAAATATTCCTTAAACCAAAGTATCTCAATAGAATCATTCAATCTTATATAATTTCAACTTTCTATCATATGTCATTTGTTAATTCACAGTTTTATTGATTCATCAATTCAATACTTTAGTTATGAAACATTTACTATCTAATTGTTATATGCCAGGCCTTTTATTGGCTGTTGAGGATAGAAAGATGAAAAAGACACTGATTCCTGCCTGTATCTGTTAGTTTTGCCACTTACCAAAACATCCCAAAGCTTACTGGCTTCAAATAGTGACCATTTATTTTGATTATGGAATTGTGGCTTGGCGTTTTGATCTGGGCTCAGCTAGCTGGTTCTTCTGATTTTGGCTTGGCTCACTTATGTATCTGCAGTCAGAACATGAGTAAGTTCTAGGCTAGCTGGTCTAGAATAGTTTCAGCCAGGACAGCTTGTCTCTGTTCCATGTCTCTGTGTATTCTCCTGCAGGCTAGCTCAAGCTTGTTCACACACCAAGTAACGAGGCAGGGTTCCAGGAGAGCAGAGGGGAAGCTTGCAAGGCCTCTTAAGGCTTGGGCTTGATACTGCCATGACCTAACTTATGCTGTACTGTATTGGCCAAAGCAAGTCAATGAATATATCCTAGCAGATTCTTCAGCTGCAGGAAGGCAGTTCTGCTTAGCCTCCTGTCCATATGTAGGTGCTTAGGCCTATCTCCTACATGCCTTTCTTCTCTTGTTACTTCTCCCTGCCTCACCTTACCCCATGGGGATGACCTACCCTCTCTTCTTCCTCCTTTTCTCTAAATCTACCTACTTTTTAGATTCCACTTTTATAAAATCTTCTGGGGTGATTCCAGATTCAACTGACCTCTTAATTCTTTTTATCAGCAATAATACTTGTAGTTTTTTGAGTTAGGGCTGAAGACGCAAAAAATATCCCTGCCCTCAAGAGACCTACATTCTAGGAAAATGGGAATAATAAGCAATATCTACCTTATAGGGTTGTTGCTAGGATTAAGTGAATTAATATACATATAGTATTTAGTATATGAGGCATAGTACATGCTGCTGTATAAATCCAGTATGCCAAGGGTTTTATGTGATGTTAACTGTGTGCCAGGCATGGAATGAGAGATTCTGCATGTATTTTATTCTTTATTCCTTATTATTCATGGATCCTGCAAAATTAGTACTTCTAGTTGGGAGAATGGAAACTCACACAGATACTAAGTGGTAGAGCTGAGATTTGAACCCAGAGCTGTGTGGCTCCAAATCCCATGCTTTTAGGAGCCATGCACTTTATTCTTTAAATTTTTGTGAAATTTTGCTTCAATATTCTTGAGGGTGGAGCAGAACTATATTTCCCCCAGTTCCTCACCATTGCTTTGACAGTATTCAAGTATGCTTTGCAGCAGAACCCATCTTTGGTAGACAGAAGAATGGCCCCCCAAAGATGTCCGCATCCTGATTCTTAGAGCCTATGAATATGTCACCTTACATAGTAAAAGTGATTTTGCAGGTGTGATTTTGAGATGGGGAGATTAGCTTGGATTATGTGAGTTGGCTGCCCAATATGGTCACAGGGGGCCTGAAAAGAGGGAGGCAGGAGGGCTAGAGTCCAAGCAGGAGATGTGATGATGGAAGCAGAGGTTGGAGTGATGCAATGGCCACAATCACTAAATAAAGGCAGCCTCTGGAAGCTGGAAAAGGCAAGGAACCAGATTCTCTTGTAGAGCTTCCAGAAGGGATGCAGCCCTACCGAAACCTTGATTTTAGCCCTATAAGACTTGTTTTAGATTTCTGACCTCTAGAACTGTAAAGATATCAAATATATGTTGTCTTAAGCCACTGAGTTTGTGGTAATTTTTTTACAGCAGCTGTAGGAAACCAATACTTATCTTTCTACAGGTACTTTGAATATAGCAAAGTTCGAACCTGCTGAGGCTCCTCCTCATTTGTGACCCAGAGCCCTTGAAACAAAGGTGATGGATGCCCTTGTCCCGCTTCTGGGAGGATCTGTGGTATGACTTAGATTTCGGCTGGTGGGGATGGTTTTGCACTGAATTATCCACATACTCCTGGCTGTGTTCTGACCATCGGCCCTATCGGCCAGGCAGCGGACTGGGGGAGTGGTGGTGATGGGGCAATCTGAAACAATGGCATTGAGTTATTTTATTATTTTTTTTCTGAAACAGAGTCTCACTTTGTTGCCCAGGCTAGAGTGAGTGCCGTGGCGTCAGCCTAGCTCACAGCAACCTCAAACTCCTGGGCTCAAGTGATTCTCCTGCCTCTCAGCCTCCCGAGTAGCTGGGACTACAGGCATGTGTGCCTGGCTAATTTTTTCTATATATATTAGTTGGCCAATTAATTTCTTTCTATTTATAGTAGAGACAGGGTCTCGCTCTTGCTCAGGTTGGTTTCGAACTCCTGACCTCAAACGATCCGCCCGCCTCGGCCTCCCAGAGAGCTAGGATTACAGGCGTGAGCCACCACGCTCAGCCTATTTTATTTTTTAATGCCTTCTGTTCCTGCTCATTCGTGGGGACAGAGAGGCCCCCAGAATGGACACTACTCTCTGGGAGCTCAGAGTTGGGGGGGTTAGCTGCCTTTTTCTGCCACTGGTGGTGACAATGAGTGGAAGATGGGACCCCACATCATAGTAACAACAGCTAATATTTACTGATCACTCACAGTGAGGTTATCCATTTGTTCTTGTCAGCAAGCCTGTGAGGAGGGTGCTAGTATTATCCCCATTTTACATATGAGGAAAGTGAAGCTCAGAGAGGTCAACAGGTCTGACAGCAAGTAAGCAAAGAGCTGGGATTCAAACCCTGGATCCTAATGTCAGTGCCTCAGCCCTTCACTGAAGTGCTTTGCTGTCTCCCATGTGGGGCCGTGTGGCATGGAATAGGACTCCTCAGACGTTTACTGGCTGGATGGGCGAATGGCTGCCACTCAGCTAGGCCAGGAGCAGCTTCATGAACCCCTACCCAGAGGTGGCAAAGTGGGCTGAAGTGGGGCCAAGGAATCCAACTGGGCAGCAAGGCATTTTCTCCTGCAGGTGCAAGGTTCTTACACAGCTGGCTGTATTCCTTAGGCTCCCATATCTGGACTCATGGGCAGGTCCAACTAAATTCTTACTGAATTTGCCAGCATCCTTCACGCAAGGGAGCTGCTGGTAACAAGCGTGAGGTGGGGATGGTGGTCTCTCCCAGTGTCTCTCTTTCCCCCTGGGGCTCCCTCCTCCCATCCCTGGATGCTCTGTGTGGCCAACTGGGGGTCCAGGATGGATGTTGTATGCAGGCTTGTTTCCTTTCTTCCTCCCTGGATATGAAAGAGAGATGGGGCAGAGCATGAGGTTGGAGATAAACTTGGTGTGAAGCTGCAGGGGAGCCCATATGGCCTTTGCCTGTCTGGAAATTATCAGTGACTTTAATAGACTTACAGCTTGTGTGGATATTTCCTGCCTTTTACTTTCTTTTATGTCTTGCTTTGCGTGCGAGAGAATTTAATGCCAATGAACCTCATGCCATTAGATGAATAGAAAGCAAGTGACCTCGGCTGTCTCTCCCCTCCTTCTGTCCCCAGGAATGTCTTGTGAGCTTGAGTGGTCTTCTCCACCAGGCCATATGGGGCAATACTGCCTTGTTAAATGGCCTCATGGCTGCCATGTCACACTTTTGGTTTCCTTCCTCCCCAAATGTCGCTTAAATTATTACTTCATTTGTAGCAGTAGTCAGACTAAGGCAATTCTATTGATTTTCCTTCTTTTGTTCTCAGTTTCCCTATAGCTTAGTTGGATCTAATCATGTCTGCCATCCTATCTTTAGGGGGAATTGAACTTTTGGTGCTTAAATGGAGGGACAGAGAATATTTTTGATTGGAGTGGGAGTGTTCAAATTCTAGTTGAGTTGGTCCCTGGGCGCAGTGGGTTACGCCTATAATCCTAGCACTCTGGGAGGCTGAGGCAAGAGGACTACTTGAGGTCAGGAGTTTGAGACCAGCCTGAGCAAGAGTAAGACCTTGTCTCTACTAAAAATAGAAAAAATTAGCTGGGCATGTGGCATGTGTCTGTAGTCCCAGCTACTTGGGAGGCTGAGGCAGGAGAATTGCTTAAGCCCAGAAGTTTGAGGTTGCTGTGAGCTAGGTTGACACCATGGCACTCTAGCATGGGTGACAGAGTAAGACTCTGTCTCAAAAAAAAAAAAAAATTCTAGTAGTGTGGAGATTTTAAGATGACACTTACTTCTGTGTTTCAGCGGTGATTTGGTTTTTTATTTTAAAGAGCATGCTCCTTTCTGGATGCTTCCCCACGGTTGATAAATTGCTATGGCAATCATTCCTCTAGAGAAGTCTCATCTCATCAATGACCTAAGATTTGGAGGGATTGGGGGAGAGACGATCAGGGCATCTATGGAGATTTGGTCCCATCTCACACTGGGTCACTGGAAATGGCCTCTGCTGATTGGACCGTGTCCTGTCAGGGCACAGTAGACAGGACCACACTGGGTGGGGAGAATGGTCTGTAGGAGCAGGCGTTACCGCTGCCTGGTCCTTAGAGTGCTTTGCTATTCTGGGGACCGAGGGCTGGCCAGCCGTCATGTGGACCGGGGTCGGGAGGCGGTGCTGAGCTGGGTTCTCCAGGAGCCTGTGAGAGCCAGGACTGCATGTAAACTATTTTGGGCTGTGTGGCGGCAGTGTTGTATGTGTGTGTGTGTGTGTGTGTGTGTGTGTGTGTGTGTATGTTCTTGCCCACGTACAAATATGATTATGTTTGTCTCCAAGAATCACTCCTAACACTAGAAATGTGGTTTTTTTTTTTTTTGCCATTGCCTTCGGAAAAAGCCAGAGCCAAAGCCTAAGCCTTTGATCCTTGAGTGACATTAACAGGGAATATGCCTTTGACTGCAGGGAGGACTTAAGAAGCACAGTTGGCTCCGGGTCCTGCGGCAGGAAGCCTTCCCCCTTTCTGTGCCACTCTGTCCCTTCAGACTTTCCTTGTGACTGTCCTGGGCATGACATGGGGTCCTTGCTTGCAGACCTGTTGTGCTGAAATGTCGGTGTATGCCCAGGGACAAGCATGGGGCTGGCTCCGCAGGAAGGAGCAGTGGGGGCCTGTCCCAGCCCCCTGGCAGGGGAGCACCCCCTGTGGCCAAATTGTGCCATGCCTCTTGGGCAAGGTGACTCTCCAGGCAGCACAGAGCCTTCCACACTCTTCCTAGCTCTCACCCTCCTCCTGTTCATGGGTGGCTGGCATTTCTGAGCTGCTCGCTGTGGCTGGGTTCAAGTCTGTGGCCCTCCTGCTGAATAGAGCAATTGGCCATGAGGCTGTGCAATGGTGGGAAATCAAAGCCTATAGATTTGGGCTGACCTGTGTCCTAACCCCAGTTTTGGCATTTAGTGGCTTTGTGGTTTGGTTTAATTTCCTTAACCTCTTTGAGCCTCAGTTTCCTCATCTGTTAATATCAGAGTGAATATATGCAAACAGTGGCCCAGAACAGAACCCAACACATAGTAATGCTCTACAAATGGTATCTCGATTGCTGAAGCTGTGAGGTTGGCTTTGTTTGAGCTACCAGTACACCATCTGAGGGGTCCCCCATCACCCTTAACAGGAGAAACCTGGTCCCGGCATAGGGGATCCCTGCATTGTACCTCATAACCCCAGCTGTCATCCTAGTCTGGGCAGACAGCGTGCTGTGGTCTTTGCAGGGCTCCCCTGGAGCACAGTTTCCCCTGTACTGCCTCAGCGGTCAGCAAAGGGGAGAGGGGGCTGCCAGGTCAAAACTTCAAGCCAGCAGATCAGCATTTATTTATAGGTCTTGGAGGGAGGCGGCAGCCGCAGGCAGTGAGGAAGGGCCTGTGAGGCTGCTGTGTTAGGGAGGGCAGAGAAGGGGCAGTGCAGGGGAGGGCATGGGTCGGGCAGAGGCCAGGTGGCCTGGCCTCGTGTGTTGGAGTGTCAGGGTTCCAGCAAAGCAGCAGCTTCATGCGGAGTAAGCTGAGGAGTGTCCAATAACATCCTGGTTACTGAAGTGTGGGCAGGGAGACGTACAAGGGGACGATGCAGAAGCCTGGGGTCAGGTCACGGGATCACAGAGCTAGCTGTGTGGAGAGGGCTGCCCCATGGAGCTGTGACCTTCAGTAGACGGTGTAGCTACCCCACAGTGCCCGGCAAGGAGGGGCTGGGGGAATGCACACCCCGTCTCTCTCTAATCTGCTCCTGGCACCTGCTTTTGGCCAAGGCCACCAGAAACAGAGGGAAGGGGACAAGTGGCTGGCCATACAGGACAGACTCCTGCAGTCCCAGGCAGTGATAAGAATGGTGAGAGAGATTTCAATGAGGAAGAGGTGGTGGGTGTTCAGAGGGGAGAAGTAAGGCTGGGGACATTTTAGGGATACAAGGTCAGGAGAGTTGAGTTGCTGAGAGGAGTCAGCCAGAGGCAATGAGGAAGAATGATTAATATCCTGGACTCAGGGAGGCTGACAGAATGGGGTTGAATCTTACTCTATTCTGTGTGGTCTTGGGCAAGCTGTGCAACCTCTCTGAACCTCAGTTTCCTCATCTATAAAATGAGAATGATAAAGACAGTATTCTCTACCTCATTGTGGGGTACAATGAAATCCTAGCATACTCAACAAGGTGCCTGGTACACTGTAAGGTCTCAATAAATAAATAAAGAACAGATAGAGGGGTTTACATGAAAGAAAGTGTCCAATTAAGTAGCCAACATGTATTGCAGAGGCTCAGTGGGAACATCGAACAATTCATCATCCAATTAATATTTAATCGAGTGCCTACTATAGCCAGGTACCAGTTTTGGGAACTGTAATACAGGGTGAAAAAAGACTAGTCTTTCTCCCAGGGAGCTGTTGTATCTAGTGATAAAGTCAGATAGTAAATAAACCTATAAAAATTGTTTTTGATGGTTGGCATAGTGCTAAAAAGACACTAAACCAGAGTGATGGGTAAAGAGTGAGTGCTGTAGATAAGGACTTCCGGTAAATTCTCTCTTGGCGGGGG